GTTCTAGTATACAATCAAGCATACAACTTTGGTATCTATAGTAACCGTTAACAAGACACAGGTGGAAGTGAATTTATACTGCATTTAGGACATGGCTGTGTTCAGACACCAGATGGGTTTGTATATAATGCTGCATTTTGGTGATGGTCTATTTTTCAGCCTGGCACATGGGAACTTGATTGTACCTAATATGAAATATGGAATATTGTAGTTTCAGATAATGTCCATTTGTCGACATTTAATCAAAGATAGCAATAAATATCGATGAAAGTAAGCACTTGCACGATGTATTTCTCAGCGAATTCGTGTGATTATTTGTATCATTTCACGATACATAGTTGATTTGATGTGAAATGATGTTGAATCTATGTGTTGATGCATGTCAGGCTCGGATGATACATTTTCGTTTTATTGATCACATATTCTGCTGCAGTGTAAGCCTGTCACAAAGCTATTTACAAAACGTGTAGAAAGTTTCACTAGGAAGAAGGATTTTTCTGCTCAGGGATTAACTGAAGGAAATCCCCTCAACTTCATATACCAAGGGGTCGTTTCAGAAATGTGTTCGTGTTGAATGCTAATAATATTGGCACGAAATTGGATATGAGAATTGGTTGGCCCCAACTGTGATGACAAACGTATCGTTTCTTATTTCTCCAAGATTGCTTTTGGCTTTATAGCCTTTCAGCCTCTTATGTTGTCATTTGGGCCTGTCTTGCTTTGATAGAGTACCTAACATGTGATGTCGGGATGGCTCTTTTTACCTGATCAATTTGAAGGATATGAAAATATATAAGTCTTGCTGTGAGACATTGTTAAGAGGTGATGTCTGAAAGACGCTTTTATCTGAACAATTTGAAGTTTATAAAAATATACTGCCTTGTCTGACACATTAACATAGACAAAGAATTCTATGTAAAAAGGATCGGTAACTGAAATACACATTATCGTGTTGATGGAAGAAGATTTGCATTTAAAATAGCACAAGTACATGCAAATGGCTTTGCACATTTGAAAAGATTAACCTCAAACTATTTTGATATCAAACTCATGTTGAGAAAATTACGATTAATATATATAACAGATATATCTGTGCATCAAAGAATATATACAGACCATGTGGCGTTTATGATGTTACCGATTAAGCAACAGCTGAAAGTGATATTAAACACATCAACACCTTGAAATATGTTTCTAAACTCGTCCGTAGACCTCATGTAGGGGTACAGGATATTAGACAGGGTGTAATGTTCCAGGGAAAGGTTTCAACGGCTACAAGATAAGCCTCCGCGTGATGCGGTCATTAGTGGTACACACCGTTTATGTAACCTATCTCTCTGGTAGGAAGAGCTTGCTGAGACAATCTCACCTTGGGCGGTGAGTCATCTTACACATTGCAAAGATTACACCAATCAACGTGTAATATTTTGCAGGTTAAAGTAAATACTGTCAAAGCTGCGTGTTGTGATGTATGGTGGAAACGTTCATGTATCAACGACTGTGATTATTTATTGCTGATATGTATATTTGTATAAAAGAGCAGAGATTGTATTTTGAAGATTGGTGTGCTTTGTTGATGCTTATACAGTGTAAACGTGCTTCTTTAAGAACTGTTTATGTCAAATTTGACTGTTTCTAATGGCTCACGGTAGGATAAGACAGATATCACAAACAAGCTCAGAATATGGTTCCGACAGTGCGCATTAATAATTAATCATGCTACCGTCTTCGTCTGTCTATTGCCTGTCTGATTCGGATTATCTAATGTATGTGCATTCAGAAGAGACGCATGAATAGCTTGTCACCATCATAACCATCATCATCATCATCATCATCATCGTTGTCGTCGCCGTTGTCAATGTTGTTAAGTCTTCGATGGTGCAGTTGTTAGTAAGTCTGTTGTTGCACCGCTCACTTTTGCAATATTGCAGTAGTAACACGACAACTAGACACCAGCATTTGGTCTCATATGTTACCTAGGTAGCGAGTTTAGAACTCAGCTTCAGGGAGTGTGCAATTTTAAAATGTCAAGACAACTGAGGCAGTGTGTTGATGTTAATTACTTCGATGAAATCCACAAGACAAGTATTATGCTGGCGAACCCGCAGAATCGAATACATAATAGCTATTCGAAAGCAACAAAGCTGATCGTACGCATTGTCCCTGATGAAGATTCGGAAAAGTACACGGAGATTTTCCTGGTTCAATGTATCTGCACATTCGGTCACGCAGCATCCACGAACGTCTGAGGATAATTACACTTGTGAAGTTCCAAACCAAAAACCGTACTTCGGAAATTTGGATGTTGTAGAGAGCACCCTCTCGTCGACCTTAGGTTTGTTAAGTGAAGGTTTCCCTCTGAAATGAGGTCATTTATAATAAAAGAAATGGATCGAAGCGAAACAAAAACCTAAATGAATTGAAATTACTCCAATCCCATGTCCATTTTTCGTGTATTGATTGATGACAAATAATACATTTTCTGCGAAAAGGAACTTGAAATGCCTCGCATAAAAATGTATCCCTGATTTTCAAGCAGTGTTGGCAAGAAATTGAAGCAATTACCTTTAAGGAACAGTTAGAGAAAAACAGATTATGTGAATGAAAATTGTAATTACTCCATTGAGAAATCTGGGTCAGTGTCGGTTTCAAATGAGTTCAGACAAAGCTCTGAGTGGATTGTGTGAAGGGTTGGTTAGTGCTAGTACCTAACTCAAACATCGATTTATCTAGATGCACAACAGAACTGTTTTACACAGACATCACACAGATATGTGTTAAAAGACTAAACACTCGAAATACCTTGCAGTTTTAACTAAGTACAGTTAAAGTCTTTTAACTTCGATTATCTTTTCTTATGGCACAGCCCTCTTTGGTTCGAAAATAGTTTGAAATTGAATTACCCCCTTACGAGAGATATAGTTATCGCATTGTTCGTCTGTTCATTGCTGTGAAATTATTCGGCATTATTCCATCAGACATAGCCTTGCTCCAAGGCTGTACTTAAAGCTAAGTCCATGGATGTATATAATTCTGTCCTTCAAACAGGCAAGTCTAGATAAGCGAACAGTACAAGGACCCCAATCTGCTTCTTTGAGTGGCATTTTAGAAGTTGGGAAGTACAATATAGAACAAACTTTATGGATAACAACTTCTTTTTATTCGTGAGTGCGACGTTTCGATACAGATTCTTGAACCGTTGTCAGGCATTAATGGAACATGAAGAAGGGGGAAGTATATATATACTGGATGTAACAATGTAACAAGGAAAACAACATAATTAACATGATTGGCTAGGCAGTAAGCTGATGAAGCTAGAGAGTAGACAAAGGACAGGCGTGGGAGCCAATGATGTACAAATAATAATGAGATGTTTATACAGCAGAGTTTATACAGTAGATTGGGCTTGGTGGATGAGTGCATCATAACCGGACGGAATGAAGTTTCTTTGGTCTCGGGTGATGGTGGGCTTTTGGCGTTTGATGTGGATGGCTTCGGTGAGCTTGCGTTTAGTGAAGTCTGTTTGTTTGTTAGCGAGAATGGTGATGTCAGACCACACTATTTGATGATTGGGGCTTGCTTTGATGTGGTCGGAAATGGCTGATTTGCTGTCGGAATTGGTGACAGAGGTTTGATGTTCTTTCACTCGGGTGTTGATGGGTCGGGACGTTTCGCCTATGTAGCTCTGCCCTCAATCACAGTTTATTTTGTAGATGACACATTTTCGGTTGTTGTTCTTGACGGTGGCTGGTTTTCTTCCATTGGCATTGCCTAGCTAATTATGTTAATTATGTTGTTTTCCTTGTTACATTGTTACATCCAGTATATATATACTTTCCCCTTCTTCGTGTTCCATTTTCTCGGCGACATTGGCTACAGCCAGAAGCCGACGTTAAATCTCAAATCATCATGGTCCATTAATGCTTGACAACGGTACAAGAATCTGTATCGAAACGTCGCACTCACGAATAAAAAGTTGTTATCCATAAAGTTTGTTCTATATTGAACCCCAGTCTGCTGTTTATCATTTTTATAAATTATCATTTAAACTATTATTGTTTACCATCCAGACTTGTGCAAGTCTACATCAAACACAACATCGAGGTAATGAACCGGTTCCTTTTGCTATTACGGACTTTTAGAATGTGTTTCATTTTGTTTCCACTTTCTTTTCATAGCTGTGTTTGACAGTGGGTTACAAACAAAGCTCCAAATCCCAATTCCATGGTATTGTTTTGATAGCTTAGTAATTTCCCTTGTATGAAGACAGACGTATCAAATGGGGATACTCTCGATCGACATGGACAGATTAATCTTGTAGAACTTGTTGTACGGTGATTTGTTCTTTGTAGTTTGTGGGCCAAGACTTTTGTCATCTTGTCTGTGTTTTTGTGTCCTCCTACAAACGTTTATACAAATATAGCTGGTTCTATTGATTTTGGTCTTCATCGAAATGGGGACCCAGGTGACGAGGTGTCTCAAGGTATCGCAACTTACCCTCCATAGTTATGTGCCCTTCTCATGACAGGATCCTGCTCATCTGGTCATAGATTCCTCGTCATGTTTCTTCTCCATTGAAATAATTTGTCCGTGATATTTGCCTTTCCAACATACAGAGCTGGAAAGCTGTGATAAAACAGAAATGTTCACAGCTGCCAGATATTGGTTTAATACCGCGCATAGCGACGGAAACCCATACTCACTAACTCTACCGCCCAAATCGGCATTAATAGAAAGACAGGCCGCAGTTACAGATCCACATATATTGACCACTGTAGCAATACAAATTACAAGTTATTTCTTTCAGGGATGTGGCACAGAGTACAAGTACACAATTTGTAAAGACGGCCAATAAACTGGTATTAATTACATTGCGGGATTGGGTGTAAGGATCGGGTGTTTCCATAGCTTCGGCTGCTCATCCACTACCGCTGTCATTTTAAACCTCTCAGGTAGAATTTACTTGATTCGGAATTCAATTTAATGGGCTCTTTTTTCAGGTCAACAGCTTTGTGGGGGCATTTCACGACGCCGTGATCCTGTATGCGCTTGCATTGAACGAAACTCTGGCGGCGAACATTTCTATAACCAATGGTTCGGAAATCACCAAACGGATGTGGAATCGAACATTCGAAGGTAATGCACTTTTAGTGATTCTTTTCAATAGCCTACTAGAAAAACCTCCATTGAATGCATGAAGTTTATGTCTATAAGAGATACTTTAGGGCTGTGTTCCCGTTCAACAAGTATGTAAGAGAACAGTTCCAAATCCATTAAGCTTCCCTTCTGGAACTATTCTGCACATACGACTAACCCGTGCTTGTCACCAAGTTGTTAACTTCTGACAGGAACAGTACCATTGATTGCACGTTGTGCAGTTTGCAGTTCAGGTCATCTACGTCACAGTGATTCACAGTCGTGGCTCTCAGGTAGTAATGACACCAGGTGTTTCTGAAGAGTGAGTGAGTGAGTTTGGTTTTTACGCCGCTTTTAGCAATATTCCAGCAATATCACGGCGGGGAACACCAGAAATGGGCTTAACACATTGTACCCATGTGGGGAATCGAACCCGGGTCTTCGGCGTGACGAGCGAACGCCTTAACCACTAGGCTACCCCACCACCCCTGTTTCTGAAGAAGGTGCACACTCTCCAGAATCAAGTTTAAAGGCATGTTTTCATGTGCATAAACACAGGAACACGTGGTACTCGTCAAAATAGGGAAACCATGATCTCAATGATTTCCATAAACCCGTTAACCATAACAATAACCATAAACTCCATGATCAAACCTCCATCATCAAAACTCCATCATCACAACCCCGCCTCTCCTAAACACAGACCACCACTGCTCTCAACAATAACAGAAACGTCAACTGCTGTCATAAAAATTGTAATTTTTTCCTGGACCCACTATTAATCGTTTTTGTGTGCTAATTCTTTGAGCAGTTCCTTATCATGTTTAAGTTACAACTTTTAAAACAAGAAATATGCCTTTGATCTTTGCTGTTGAACCTAATTGAGCAGGTTTCGGGATGCAAGCAGAGCTCAGGTGCTTGTATTCTCAGCCTCAAATCCTGCTTTCAGAAACATAAAAAGTAACCGTTTCTAACAGCACATGTCAACATAAACCACCCTTGATGATGCAGAGTTGGTAAACGAAACTAATTTGCCTTTTTTTAATTCACCGAAATCCAATATATCTTTGTAGCTTGCAAAAACAGCTGTGCGTGTAAACACGAGATCTTATTTAACTTGTGATTAAAGTGACTTGCCAAGGTATTTTCCATGTAATCTTTAGGATAGATTTCGAATTTCAATTGTGATTGAATCTGAGGCTTGTACTTACATATAAATTCTACTTTAGGACGGAAGGACACAACCAATATGATATGTCAGTCATTTAACATTTTGTCTCGAACTAAATTCCCTAAACAACCAGTTCTCCTGCTGATCAGGGATGAAATGATTAGGGTCATTTTTGAGCCAGGGAGACAGGCGTGTCTAAAACCTGATGCCCATTCGTCAATATGCTTCGGTTGCTAGGATGCACCGTGGGTTAAGTGATATTGATATTTCACCGATTTGAGCATTTCTGTCAAGGATGCTGAAGGCCCTTCATAGCGATGCGTGCTTTCCTGAACCCTGCCTGACATGGTGAGGTGTTGTCTTGCCGATGAGAGAATACATCGAGAGGGCACTTTTTGGTGTCAAGGACATTGAAGATATATAGAAGGCGCCAATAAGTACCATTGCCTTACTTCAATAATGTGTTCGTTAAGCGATTCATTTAATGACAATAAAGCTGTTTGTATTAACATATTTTCATCTCACCTAAACCGGGGCGACTGTTTCTGTATGTCACTTATATCCTACCCTATAACATGAGTGATTAATTTCAATATTTCTGGGGCAGGAATGGAAATAGGTACGTCATTCCATGTAAGTTATCATCTAAATGACTTTGCTTACATAAATATATCCTTTAATTATCGAGTCATCAAAAGTGCAGCCTTTACTAAAGTGCTAAGTTACATTATGCTAATTGTTATATCCTGCATTTTTCTCATTTGTTCATTAGCATATATACCTGCGTGTACTGTTGCCATAGATACACAGAGCAACCTTGTTAATCCGCTGACTTGTATGAAGACTTACAGGTACGGAATACAAAAGGGTAGATCTTACTGAAACGTCCTCATCCCGATTATCGAACTCTCACAGTTATTGAAACCGGCGTAAAACAACATTTAATCTCTCTCATCGATCTCGATTTTCTTTCATACATTTGTAATTTTTCTTTCAACACGTGTTGGTTTTGAGGGGCTTAAAAAGTGAAAAATACCTATTCACCGAACTGCTAACAGTCATTCGCAATGTGGATCTGCTCTTGTGCTCCACAAGTGGTCTCATTGTAGCAAAGTGCTTGGAAGAGTGAGTAAGTGAATATGATTTATGGATGTTCCAGTCATATAACAGACGGTTACACCAGAAAGGGTCTTCACTAACTGGAAATCAAACTCGGTTTTTCGGGGTGACGAGCAAACACTCCGTGACCACCACTCTACTAGGAAGCATTAGTGTACCCTCATATGTGAGGGTTATGCTCAGATGTTCTGTCTGAAGATTATTCGCCAGTTGAACGTTTTCAGTATCTTCATGGGTTCTTTATTGACATTCTTAAGATAGTGAGGTCGTGAACTAAAACTGAATTTCACAGGGGCTTAGGCATGCTTTTAGTGGGTGTATTTTGTGGACGAATTTGATTAACACAGTGACATATTGCGGATAAAAATATGCATTTTGTCAGAATGCGAAAACCCGTCTCTTAGAATTTAGATTTCACGGTGTATTTGCATACGCTGTGAACAAATCGATTTTCAAGCGTTTGATTATATCTCCGCTATGATTTTACACGAAATTAGCTATTTTCACGCTATTTGAGCAGAATAACCGTCAAAGGGGATTTAACAGTTTTCCACTAAGGGACCCAATTCTTCTTCTCTTTTCAGTTTACTCACTCGGTTGTTAATTGCATGTGCTTCTTTCGTAAATTTTCGATAATTAAATTTAATTGATTATTGAATTGAGTGTTAGATGTGTTTTATGAGACAAATCACCTACATATTTTCTTCAATGACCATGATTATAAAATAATATATAATTATATTACTTTATAGTAATGTGAAATTCTGCCTAATTAGAACATGTTAATGTTGTCTTGAATCTCTTCTGAATGCAAATGTCCACTATTATCAAGTGTAACCCACAAGACACGTATGGATATTAGCCCCTTGGAGGCATTGTGCTGGTCGTTGAAGACAACCAGATGGGTCGGGTGGTTGGGCTAGGTGTGATCGTACAGCCAGCCGTTACATGGCCGGACTATTGCTGAAATTTTGCTGATACACACAATCAAAATGAAAGGACACTAAAAAAGGATTCGTTGAGATTTTCGTAACTGTTTATAAGAATTCATTAGAGAACCAGAGCACAACCCAGAAACCCGTAGTGCAACAGCTCAAAACATAAGCACCCTGACTTAATGCTACTAATGCCAGTCAGCACAACCATTCGTGACACAATGTAGTGTTCTTGTGATTTCATGTCTCGCCAAATCCCTACAGCAAACCTAAAGAAAACTTACTGCTACCAAATGCCAGTCAGCACAACCATTCGTGACACAATGTGACCTGTTCCTATCATACATACGGTTCAGTGAAGAATCACGATGTGATAATATGCCTAAGTATTCAGTGTTGTGCGTGTCAACCCTTCCAATGTATATATGGATAAATACAGTGTGACGTGTTAATCGCCAGAATATTGTAGCCAGAATATTTGCAATTAGCGTGTAAGTAGTGGATCATTTGTCACATTGACACGAAGGTACCGACACTCAGGCAAGGTTCATGAGTTTGTCAGTTTAGTGGATGTACAAGGAACGATGACATGAAAGGTTCATGAGTTTCTCAGTTTAGTGGATGTACAAGGTATGACGACATGAAAGGTTCATGAGTTTGAAAGTTTAGTGGATGTACAAGGTATGACGACATGAAAGGTTCATGAGTTTGAAAGTTTAGTTGATGTACAAGGTATGACGACATGAAAGGTTCATGAGTTTGTCAGTTTAGTTGATGTACAAGGTATGACGACATGAAAGGTTCATGAGTTTGAAAGTTTAGTGGATGTACAAGGTATGACGGCATGAAAGGTTCATGAGTTTGTCAGTTTAGTTGATGTACAAGATATGACGACATGAAAGGTTTCAAACTGTAGAAACTGAATACTATTCTCCTCCGCCACTCAATACTGCTGGGGATACTGTAATAGACTTTGTCCCTCCGACCAGCTGTCCGTTTCTCAGTGGGGAAATCTATTAAAGTTAGAAAATTGAAATTGTACACAGTAATGCAACTGTGATTTATTTAATGAGTACAAAGGGGAGTCTTTCAATTTAGTGCACACTGTTTAAAATTTACGCAAAAATTGTTACTAAGCTTAAAATATGGTGTCATACGTTATTTCTCCCAGAGGTTCCTCCTGATGCAAGTATAATCTTGAGTATGTAGATTCGAAAGTGATAGACATATTGTATGTATGACAGAGAACACAAATGTGCTAAATTCTGGTCCCTGAAGATGTGTGTGTGTGACACAATCAGAAATTTTATTGTATTCCCGCTTTTTGATTGACAAGTAAAAACCTTTTGAAATTTCTGAAAGCGCAAGGATTACATTACGATTCTAGTGACTCATATCGAGCTGTAATCATGCGTATAATACAGTATCCTCTGAAAGGAGAAATGAACACAGATTTGTCGAGAAAAAATGCTTTTTATGTTTAAAGGAAGTCAATCCTCAAATGGTGCGTGAGCTGATTGCATGTGATGTATATTAATGACGCACATTTAGCAATCACCTACATACATAACAACACCACTGTGTTCTCTGTTATTTACGCAAATGTCAGAAGAGAATTGAAATGGATAAGCAGAGATCGCTTTCTCCCTGTTGATTTATGTAATGCAAGAAATGTGTGGTGTTGACATTATATGGGATATTGTTTTCCCAACCAATAATGGCCCTGCCGGAATTCTTTACCTTGGAAATGATGATTGGGGATAGGAATGAGATAC